GATTTCATTTTTAAGTATGTTTATTTTGTAATGTTTTTAATTATAAGGTCTTTTTTACAACTCATTTTTTATATATAATATAAATTCTCATTTATTTTTTTAATTAAATAAATAATTGAAACAAAAAACTAAAGTTTTTGTATATAACTCTTTCTGCTAATTCTTTAATTACATACAAAAAAGATATTTGCAAAAAGGTTTATACTTTTTTGTAATAAAGTCTTAATAATTTCATTAAACTAACTTGAAATATAACTTCTGAATCACTTCTACATTTCCTTTTTTATTCAAAATTTTGACTTTTAATAACTAAAAAAAATCAAGTAATATCTTGATATCAATGGCAAGAAAATTTCTAAAGAAGAAAGAACTAATAGAGAAGTATCTAAAAGTCTTTATAACTTTTGAAATGAAAGGTTATAAAAGTTTTGTTATGATTAAAAAACTTATTTTCTCTTTTTTGAACTGTTTTATCCCTTTTGGAATTTTCACTTTTATGGTTTTTTAAAGAAATTTATTTATTTTAGTTTGATCTTTAATTTTGTATAATACAAATACTTATTAAAGATAATTGGCTAATTTGAAATATATTAGTTTTTAAACAATAAACAAGCTTTTATTGGTTATATTCATATGTTTCAATAATGTCATTGATGATTGAAAAAAAAGTTTATGAAGAAAGTATTCTTCAACTAAACAAATTTCCAAGAAAGATAGTTATAATACCAAAAGACAAGTAAAAAATATAAAACATGGCATCCCTATTCCTTAATCAAGTTCCTTAGATAATAAGAAAACTTTTTCAAAAAAATTGAAAACTTCAAGCTTCCATCTTAATCTGATAAAGTTTTTGCAGAGACTTTTTTATTTCAGTCAAGCTAACTCTGCTATAATGTGATATTGATATCAGTAGTGTGTTAAGCAAATTCATATATCAGTAAAAGGATAAATTCCTCTAATGTTCCTTTTGAAATCTACATATTAAGAATAGCTAAGTTCTTTAAATAATTTAAAGTTCAAAGAATATTCCAATCAGGCAGATCCCTTTTGAGAGGAGATTGTTACTTGAATAAGAACCTTTTGAAGAGCTTTGAATTGATTTCTTTTTTTTTATCCTCTTCACCAATATGTAATTCAACAATTTATTGTTTTTCCAAATAATCTACAGTGACAAACTGTAAGCAATAATTCTAGTAAATAGTGATTATAATCAATCTATCAGAAGAGTGTAATATTATCTCCTAAATCTGACTTAGAGTACCTAGTTTAGATTATGTTTTGTTAGTTTGAACTAGTTTAATAGATTCCTCATATTTTTAAGTAGTGTAGTCCTTTAACTAATAATGTACAAATATGAGTTAATCATCATATGAATAATCCATATAAAGTTGTAGATGTTTCTAATATCTCAATAAGACAAGCCATTATGACATGATTGTGGGTTTAAAAAAAAAAAAGCTAAAACTTTTATTATTACGAACAATCACTAAGATACACACTATATTTGATGCTTCATTATTATGATGTAAAATTTTCTTGTAATTATCCCAACTTCGTGTCACCCGTCCGTTTGATGATCATGAACTAATTTCTGTCATCTGGTCACATGTGAACTATCGAGTTTGAAAATCCAAATGCGTGAGTCATCATTAGAGAAAACAAAAAAAAAGTATTGGAGCATTTTATAATTTATGTATTATTGAGAGACACTGGATTCTTGATTGCAAGTTTGTGAATAGATATATCATTTGATTCATCTTCATACTCGATAGGTGAAAAAATGAAATTAATAAAAATCATATGCCAAGAAAATTTCGTTAAAAAAAATTTTTTTTTTGTTTTAATATCTTACAATTACATTATATGGCATGATTTTGCTTTGATATAAGTGACTTTTCATAGTTTAAACCGCCATAGTTGAAATCTTCATAAATAATTTCTGTAGCTTCCCACATTGAAAGATTTTTTGGGACCCAGATCCAATCCCGAATTGTGGGTACATTACTAATAGGATCGGCAAGCATTAATTTTTTTAGTTCTCTTGTTTGTTTTTTAAGTCCATCCTGAGAAGAAAAACAAAAAAGTTAGACTAAAGTTCCTACGATATCTATGACGTATTAAAATACTCACTATTAAAGCATATAATAGTTCGAAGACTTCCATGAATTTTTCGACTTCATCAAAAGAAAATGGTAGCATAGCAGACCTAATCTGCGAAATCTTATAAAAATGCTTCTTATCGAGATAAACTTCACTTAGAGTAATTCGATCGCCTAAAATGAACAACAAAAATAAGATTTTAAATGGATTAAGAAAAAATCTAATTACAGGAATTACCTATGCATTGCACCATATATACGCATATATTTCTTGCTTTTTCTGCGCTTTTATCTAAGTAGTCTCTAAGCAAAGAGATCAAACCAAACATGGCTTCCTTGATGAGTTTTTCAGTATCCTCTTTGACGTGTTTTAGAACAGCATTCTCTGGTCCTCCCGACACTTCAATAAACACGATTTCTTTATTGCTTGAAACTTTAGAACCAATTCCATCAACTTTATTTAACGTGAAATCAAATTCTGGAAACAATTCCTTTATATCTCTGATGCAACTAGCTTGTACTTCAATCCAGTCAAATGAATACTCTCTATGTACTGATTGAATCGCCTTGAATAAAGGAACTATCCTGTCCACAGTATACTTCCTTTCCCCGATAAAACGATTCAAAGGGCCCTTATCAGTCATGGAAAAACTATTCAAATAGGTGAATTAGCCAGTTGTGTTAAAAAGAACTTACAGTATAAACCGTGATAATACTCACAAGTCATATAAGATTGTTTTGCAGACTTGCTGAAATGGATGGACTGTAGTTTGATTTAGTGAAGTTGTAATAGCACTTTCGAACAGATCTTTTTCAGACTAGTAGTAAATAAATTTTTATTAATAATATTTAACACAAGACCTAAAAAGATTTATGTCTACTTACCGATAATATATATACAATCCAAGAACGAATTTCTTTCGGAATTAGATCAACACGATCTACTTTCATTATCACGCATTGATTATTAACGTGGACTGAAAAATGTTTAGCCAAGTGTTGCATAGTATGTTTGTAAAGGATTGGCTTTGCTGGGGTCGTAACAGTTACTTGCCGATGTCTCAGAGGCGGTGTCTTGGGCTGATAAAACGAATATTATTCAGGCATAGCTCTTAAGAAATCAATCACATAGAGACATATGTCAACTTACGCCATAATCATCAACAGTCGTGCTCGTACTTTCTTGAGTTTCGGCTGATGCCTCTTCGCTTTCGTTATCAACATAAAAAAAATCGTCACTGTTGCTATTAAACTGAACTTGTACTTGGGGAAGAGTGGTATTGGTGACCTCGGCTGTACCCTTCAATTTCTTTTTTGGATTACCATCATCATAAAGATTCATAATTTCGTTTCCTTCATTGGTCGTAGACTTATCAAAAAATTCGAGTGAACGTAAATCAACCTTTCGCTTGATTCTAGTCTATTAAACAGAAACCATTGTGCCGTCAGTCGAATTCTTCATGAACGAAACAACCAATTTTCCTTACCCGTTTCTCTTTAATCAGTCTTTCCCTTTGCATATCCTCAATACTCGTCCAAAAAGATTTGCTCGTTTTTTCATTCTTCAACTGCAGTAAAAAAAAATGAAAAGGAAGAAATATAATAAGAATCTATTTCATAAAGGTCATTGTCAGCGTAGGACGATGAAAGGTGGGGAACGCAACCCCATACTTCGTGTATTATCACGAGAACGCAACTCGCCAAAGCTCCTTCAAAATCATCCTACACTCAAGACGAGGGCGGGGAGCGCCACCCCATACTCCATGAATACACTGTATTCTGACAGAAACGCGATCTGTTGGAGTTCCCACGCCTCCTGCAGGAACGAAACCTGCCCGTTTTTTACATTATACGTAACTTTTTTAATAAGCCCTTCGTCACATTCCAACTCTTGCGCAACAGATATAAATCGTTTTTTTCCAAAAGGCGTTTTTGCTTGACCACGATTTATCTTTAAGTTGTTCAGCTATTAATGTTTTGTTTCTACACAAGAAATTATTGTAGGATACTTTTGCGTGACGCGTTTCCTTGAAATATGATTTTATTTCTGTTCATAGTACAACAGAGTTAAGATTTGAAAGAGGTCAAAAATCAGATATAATTTCGGGAGAACCTACCATTTTCGAAAGACATCTGCATAAACGAAGACAAATAGTGAAGGCGGAAGATTTAATATAACGTGTCGGATCAACATTTTAAAGTCACATGACTCTGATCAATTTCTCGTGTAAAAAGTTCACATAAAACGTAATTTGTTTAAAAAAGTCAAGTTAGAGAGAAATGAAATAATATATGATGTTATCAAAGAGGGAGCACGCGGATCCTAGGCCATTTAATACGAGTCCCTGCATCATATTATATTTAAGAAATTTTGCGTTATAATATCTCTATCTATCTGGAAATCAGATGATAGGAAAGCAAAGTCAAGTCACGTGGAGTCGATTAGACTAGGGACACTGCTAGTTATTTCACTGCGCATGATGATGATCTCAGCGAAGATCAAAATGACGATATATAACAAGAGCCAATATGTCCATTTCATTTCGAAACATCTATAAAGGCGGGGAAATCGATTAACATCGTGATGACATAGCTAGCCGAGCAACAAACCAACTTACCTTATTATTACTTTACAGAAATGAGTTCGTTTGATTGTTAATATCAAAGAAGTAAATAATAGTAAGTTTGATTATTTCGCTTGATTTTTTCGTTTTGTTTGCACAAGGCGGATAAAAGGATTCACTGACAGGGACATCACCATCCATTTTATCTAATTTGGATCGATTTTGGTATACGCTTTTGGGGGGAATTACGTTACGATGATCGTATTAATCAACGGCTCCTTAATTTAACAGTAAAAGGAATTTTACGCTATCCCGATGAAGTTATGATCCCTTATAATCCTGACTCGACAAAGGGATTTATTATATAAAATCCATTGAGTACATGATGACGAATTATATAATTGGTATCGAAAGAGTGGTACTGCGCATTTCAAATTCTGAATCGATGGCTTCATTGCAATGAAACTTGATCGAGAAATATTCCACATTCACCACATACACGAAAAAAATAGCCATGTAGAAAATTGTGCTAAAGTGCTATTGATTTATTATTTGTATAAAAATAAAATTACATGTATGTATCGCATGTGATATTGACCACCCAATCACTATATAGTGACGAAAAGTACTTATCTTTATTGGCACAAATAAAAATAGCCTGATACAATCAGAATACATATGGGAACTATCTACCATCATTTTTTGTTTAACCCAACTCTTCTGTGAGATTACTTGATGACCTATGCTTTTTTACTACCCTGACTCTGTAAATCTTCCACCGGCTTCTGCGCCTCCTCCAACAACCATGCAATATGACCTAGAATTCTTTCAACCATACCCTCCATATCATCATCATACACGACGACTACTGATTTTGATGATTTGAATTACGACCTTTCTAGATTATCGAACGAGCGTTCCGAAAAATACCATTCTTTCGCATCCGTGACAATTCCGAATACCTTACCCACAAACACACCTTCCTCTATCTCGCTGGCCTTACGCCTACGGTTTGATAAAGCGGACTCGAGTTGAACAGCATTCTGAGCAATGCCCTTATAAAGATCTTCGTCCTTTACTTCAGTCACGCCAACACCTTTTGCGGTTTTGAGCATATTATTGTGAAATCGACCGGCCCGTGACCATTGGGCCCTGTTATGTTTTTATCTTGTCGAAGCTCAAACTTACCCTTGTACAGATTTATCCCGGCGACAGGGTACGAACAAACATATTGTAATTTTGATGCTTCATTTTCACTGATTGGAATGGCCTTGAGACGAGCTTCCAGCTCAGCTATAAGATGTTTAAGTATTGCCCTGAAGGAATCATCTTTCAAATCTTTGTACCCGCAAGTGAAAGGTGGGAAAACCGATAATGATGGATCGTCTGATTCGCCAAATACATAAAGCTGACATACTTTTGGGAATGTCCAATCCGAGAATGCCTTTGAGGGGGTCTCTATGAACACGGTAAACTTGAAGCCATTTTTTGACACGAGCAGTTGGAGCATTTCAAGGCGAGTACTTTCGCTATCGCTGACTATGTTGAACACTGCTCCACCATTTCAAGTGCTGGCGTTTGGTATATCGCATATATGGATTTTTTGAGGCCTTCGTGGGTTGCGTGTTCGATAGTTCGATATTTACGGTTCACTTGAATCCTTTTGTCCGCTTTGGGCTCACGATAACATCGAACTCTATGATGGAGCAGTTCGGTTAGTAAAAAAAAATAACATGTGACAAAAACTGTTACCAATGGTAACGATCAGACACAAATTTTGCCAAGAAATTTGTCGGAAGCAGATACATACAGTATTATTTGAAACACGTACCATAAACTGACTTGTTGAGCAATTCCTGTAACGAAGCAAGTTTCTTCCTTAATTATAATATCTCTTGATTCGAAGCAGTAGTTGGTACAGGTTGCTCAACAATGACAGGGATATGTTCCTCGGCAGGTGAGTCAGGAAAATATTTCGTTTTTCGTTACTTAGAGTTCGGCATCGTCCTGGAGTGAGAGATTACTCATGTCAGGAATTTCCACCTTCCATAACTTGAGCTTGTCTGCAGGAAAATTGTCGAACTCGAGTGCTTTTTTCGATTTTATAGCATCCTTGAGATGACTAACCAACTTTCCACTATAAATATCAACGGCGAAAGCATTTGCGGTCTTATTTCCTTTGATGAGACAAAGCAAAGTGATAAACATGGTGACTTAAATAGTATTTTTTGCGAAATGTTATTGGTGCAAACTGGCGTAAGCGAGACTTCTATGCTGATCCGATACGTAATGCGATCTACGTTTAAATATCGCCGGACGTTTATTAAAAAATCATTTTTTTCTTGCATTTATTACCTGATAAGAAAAACATAAAATGAGTTTAAATGAGCTATAAGAGGAGTGGGCTTTATCGTTTTTATTAGTAGTTTTATCAAAATTCGCATGTTACAGGATTCTGCATTTCCCAGATCGTCGTGATCCTTACTTCACAGCGAATCTAAGGGGGTATTTTACCGGAGGCGACCGCAGGCAAAACCTGACACATACTAAGTGGTTAACCGAAAAAATGACGAAAATATATTTGGTTTTGGAATAGATTTAATGGCTCTGGACGGTATAAAATACTTCGTTTTTTTCTCTCTTGTGGGCAGTACCAATAACGTTTTCCACTTATGCAAAATAACTGCAACGTAAGGAGAACTTCATGTTAAACTCGGTAAATAAATTCTCCTGTTGATTTTATTAGCAAAAATGTGATTAGTTGTGTTAAATAATAATACTTTTTTCATAGTAAGGGTGGATGACATTTACCTTGCTGTTAATAATGGGAATGATGCACCTTTTGACGAGGGTACATTAAGAAGTGGAGAAGTCATCAAAACATTGTAAGTTATATGATTCTTTAGTTATTTTCAATTCACATATCTTATTTACATATTCCCATCCTATACATATCTATAGATGAGTTCAGAAGTCAGATGATCTTGGTTCATACAGTATCTATCGGTTAATGGTAAAACAATACTGCTAAAAAATGTTTTGGAAAATCCGAAAGTTTCTGAATAATATACAACGAAAGGTGGGATAAAATTAGAGTTAGTATTTAAAAAAATCCGGAGGGGAAGGATTTCAAGAAGGCGCTGGTAAGGGAAATATTCCAAGGGGATAATATAAAATTTCTTATTCTTTTTATTCTCCGACATCAATTTTTAAAATAAAGAGATTCAGCTATGTATGCGGATTTATTGAGGCATATGGCACCATTTCTTCCGAAATAAAGCAATAACCCAAAGGGTCTACACATGAAATCGCTCCCTCGAGGCTCAATATAACGTGATATGATTTATATGATCGGATGCATTAGCGTGAGCCTTCCGGCTGATAAAAATAACCAATATTTAAACAATTATTTCGTGACTTAGCACTACGTCTAAGGCGCCATGTAAAATAACCTTTGTGTGAAAAACTCCTCCCACTGATCTCCATTATGTAGACGTGATGACTGTGGCCATATTCGTACTATATTTTCTTTCTTGCACCTTTTCCAAGATTTGTTTACTATACTATATGTTAAATATAGCTTAAACAACATATATCCCTCAAATTATTTGGGTCAAATCCAATATCTTTATAAAGGAAATTGTGTTGTCTGTCCTGTATCGCCAACTGTCTCTCTGCTACCTGTCTACGAATCTACCTTGATGCTTCCTCATTAAGGTTTAACGAAACAAACGACAGACTTGAATTATGAAGAGAAATACCAAGGAGAAGGTGGCAAGATTCTTGAGCTGATATATCTTGCTCTGCAATACTATTAAGCAGAAGCCTCCGGATTGATGTGAGTGATTCTCTGGATTACCTTCATTAAAAATCTTATTAAACATTTTGGAAAAGGCTATTGACTGAGGTTCTGATTTACTTATATACTTTGAAATATACTGCAAGGCAGCATATATAATTAAAACCGACATTTGCTCGCCAGCCTTGCTGTAGTAGTCTGTTATCTGGATTAATATAGGGATCATTCCTCGCTATTAAAAGCTCAGTTTGACCATATTTATCTTTGCATATGATCATATGGCTAATTTGATCCTTATAATACCCAAATCTACAGAATTGCTGGACTGTTTTTTGTTGACACGAATGCAATACGAAAGGGCTACAACACATGTGACGTTGTAGTTTGTTTATTAACTCAATATAATCCTTCAAATCATCTTTTATTTCATCATTACATCCTGACGGGGGTGTCATTCTGTATAGGTGCATGAATTGCTGGATTGTTTGTTGTAACTATCGAATCAATATATTGTGTATCTCGTATTTGTTTTCTTTTATTTGCGAATATTCAATTTTAGGTGTATTTCATCTCTTTCCAATTTAATGTATGTAAATACTCCCTCGATGTTGCCATTCATATCAGTACCAAAAATCTTCTAAATTCCATCGTTTTATAAGGACGTCATGAAAAAATTTATTAAAGCATTTATCAAAGAATCAGGTGACTATGTGTGGATTTTCTATAACATTTCCCTGTCACTGTTGAGCTGAATTGGATTCTTCGTTATAATTATCATCTAAGCTTGTCATTATTTAGATTCTGCTTAACATACACCTTTTCTTCTTGCAATACTCTCCATCTCATAATGGAATTTAACGCGAAATGTCTCCATCATTAATGTCGTGCAAATCTCCCGTCTTTATGCCACATCATATGCCTGAAGTACTCTGCTGGTTTAATCTCCCTTATACGTTCCACACAAAGGTCTGCATGCCTGGTAGGATATAGGGTTGGAAATGCATGAGCAATATATCCTACAGTTTGAAATTCGTTTATAGGACACTCGTCTATTTCAGGCCACATTGGATGAGGGTTTTCTTTTTGTATATATTCTAGTGTATTATTAATAGCAACTTTTCCTGTTGTTTCATAGGAAGGAATGGCGCAAATGTATGTGTCATTGTTTCATCTTCATTTTCGTCAATTATATTATTATCCTGAACTTGTGAAAGGCTATAGACAATAGAATAATTTCATTATCAATAATTATATCAGTGTAGAAATGTTTATTTTGTTTTAGCCACGCTAACGCCCTAGCAACTTTATTCCGTCATACATTAAAATCTCTAAACGCTGATGGATCATTTACTAATTGACATTGAATGACAAATATACTGTATCTAATGTTGATGGATAATGTGGAAGCTGAGTTACAAATACTGAGATTACCGTAAAAACTTATGCGGTTAACATTTCTTCAATCTCCGTAAGACCTTGTAATTCTTCAGGTATGTATGTCTCCAGGATCCATATTATTATTACCAGAAAACCTTTTTATAATATTTTATTCGTTATAGCACCGACGACACATTCCATTTTCAATTACCATTAGTGGTATTTTTTCATTACATTCGGGACAAAGGTTATATGCAATTTCTTCAATATTTTTACGAAATAATTGAAGAATTTCATGCTTCTCCTCGCTAATATTAGTTTGCTAATAATGAAATGTCTTTTTGATTTTGCTCCAATAATTGATGATTTCGTTTTACATGTTTGCGATTGCGTTCATGAATAAGACGTGACTCCCGTTTCTTAATTGATTTTGCCATTCTTTTTCTAGCCTTCTGTTCACAAGCTCTTATAAGGCGATTCTTTTGTGTTTCATTATCTTCTTGGGTTCTTTTTTGACGTTTTTGCTTCCTCTCACGTTTAAGGCGTGCTTAACATGGTTCGACTGCTTCACTTCTTTTGCTATTTCTCTTTCGAGGCATTTTATATTGTTTATTTTAATAATTTTTTTCTATATTTATATTACGTATTAGAGGTAGGATTTTCGAATCGTCACGATAGAGATATTCGATATGATGGCGATGGATAAATATGATTGTACAACAATGAGTGTGAAAAGTCTATCATAGTTTCTTAGTGATCTAATACACATGATATAGTAATAGAGAAAATTAGATAATTCAATAGTGAGTATGCCAGTAAACTGATATAGTAATAGGAGGAACGATTATGTATAAATAGTGGATATGTTCGTGCGAATTAGTAATCATCATCTGTAAATAAAGAACCACTGCCAAATTATAAACTCTTCTCGCCTTACCTCTATCATTCTTGTTAGTACTTAATCGGCCTTAGTAATGCGATGCAGTATACGTATCGCCACTCCTAACAGACTCACCGATCAACACTAACAATTTTTAGTAGTTTGGTTTAGTCCCTCTGATAAAATTCAGCGAAGACTTATTATAAGATATGTTACCCTAACTTACTATCTTATTACAAAACAGTTCCGTCCTCAGCACAGCTTTGTTTTCACCTAGGCATGACATAAAAAACTGCTCAATCGGAGGGTTACTTTCTCGAATCTCTAAGGGTCATCAATAGGATTAACCATGGACTGCCTGGAATCACCCATCGAAGAATCAAACATAACAGAACTAATCCCCCAGTTTTTGCGCAATATCTATGATTAGTAGCCACATAGAGAATAGCACTTTGCAATAGGCAAGAAACCAAAGAGAATAAGCTAAATAAAGAACAAAACTGATGGAAAATGGGAACAATAAATGTAAGAGAAATCCACAATGATGCAGATAGACTAGCACTACTAGAATTCTGTCAGGAAAATCAAATCAATATCTTAGGAATAACAGAAACCTGATTGACAAAAAACCAGAAATGGTGAGATATAGAGGATAAATATCAAATATGAATAACAAAATAAACAAATCGAAAATATAAAGCAGGAGTAGCCATAGCAATGAAAAAGAAGTGGTCCACACATGTCTACAATATTGAAAAATGCAACAATTATGGCCTGCTACTAAACATGGCCTTCAGAGGAAAAATCTGGTATAGAATAATAATCATATTCAATTCAGCAAACAAAACTGAAAGACAGGAGAGAGCTAAACTCCAATAATGGTGTAAAAAAAAAATAAGTGAGGTGAAGGGAAAAAACATGTTTATAATATTAATGGAAGATTTCAATGAGATGGCAAATAAGAACCTGGACCGCACAGTAGAGATGACAATAAAAACCAAACCATAATACATAATTAATACACTAATAGCCTTCGATCTCAGACAATATGGAAACATCCACTCATCAACAAGAAGTTTTACATAGAGCAGACCAAAGTCAGAGTATAGAAGCAGATTAGATTACATCTGAACATTAAGGCCCCTGCTCCCTTTCATCATTAATGTATACTATACAGCAATAGAAACAGTAATAAAAAGTAATTACAAGATAGTAATGTTACATATCAACATACAATATACATTATAGTTCAAACTGATGAATATAAACAATATTAGGAAATAAGATTAACTATATCAATTCTAATCCCAAACAGTGGATCAAATTCACAAGAAAAATTGATGAAAGCATGAGAATGATTTTCAAGAAAAACTTAAAGTTAGCAGAAGAAATATAGCAACACTTCAAGAAAGCAATAACTATAGTGGCAAGAACAACTCTTAGAAAAAAAAGAAGCAAGAGAAATACTGGCATTATTCACAAATCCAAATACAAAAAAACTAATGTAAAAGTAACTCAAATTGATCAGAATATATAGACACTGCCAAGCATGACTTGTGGAGCTAGATATCAAATCAAAAATAAAAAAACACTCATCGAGAAAGAAGTTAACAAGATTAATACATCAACTCCACTTTTAAAAATATTATCTCTTTTCCAGGAGGATATAATACAAAATAGAAAAACTTTATACAAATGGTTACTGAAAAACAAGAAGATCCAAGAAATAGAAAATATAATCACAAAAGTTAAAGTGAAACAAGCAAAGAGAAAAATAATTCAGAATTAGTTAGAACAAAGATATAAATACCTATAAGAACAATTTAGAAAGATAATCAACAATATACTGAATCAACAATCAAGGGTTATTAATATATATACTGTATACTAATCGAAAGGATACAATAGGATGAAATAGAAATAATAACAGACTCAAAAGTAATCAAAGAAAAGATTAAGAAATACTTTCAAGAGTGAATCAGATTGAAACAAATACTAGACACTAAAGAGTTTCCATACTGATAGCAACAGTATAAACCCAAGCAAGGCATTAAGAAATATTGGTTGGATGAAAAATTATCAAAAATTAATATGATAGAAATAAGCAATGCTAACAAAAAGAAAAAGAAGTTTAGTGTACCTGATCCATCAGAAATATATTAAATACTACTTAAAAACCTGGAAAAAAAGGGACTGGAGTTACTAAAAATACACTTCAATATGATCCTTAACATAAAAGATAGCTCACAAGACTCAAGGAAAGAAAATGTATATTCAATTTCCAAATCAGTATATTGATTAGATAATATCAACATTATACAGTCCATCACTTTATTAAAAACAACTAGGAAAATATTTATAAGTATCCGAACAAATAGAATAGCAGAAATATATAATAAACATAGGATACTGTGTATAACAATAGGCAGAACTTTCAGGAGAGAGCACTCAAAAACTGATTTATATTTTGAACAATATTATAAAAGAAGCCAAAGAATTATGAAAAAAGACCTAAATCTTTAGCCAAGATATTAGTAAAGTGTTTGATTCCATTAATAGAAATATGATAATTCAAGCTCTCAAAAGAAATTACATATCAGAAAAAATAATAAAAATTTTGAACAACATACTGGCTGATAGGAACAATAGGATAATTACAACATATGAATTCACTGAAGTATACCTAAATATGATGGAATTAATTAGAATAATATTATTTCTCCACTGATATAGAGAATATTCTACAATCTGCTATTGCAAAAAAATTGAGGATAATATATAGGCTATACTATAGGAGCAGAAGTACTACTAGATCTCATATCACTGAATCAAAAGAAAATGGTAAGCATACAAGTAAAGAAGGCATATATCATAGCAACTGCCAATATAAACAATACTACATAGTTTACAAGTAGTCAAGCTAGCATACAAGCTATTATAGATAGGATAGTAGAATTCTTAAAGATTGATAATATACAAGTCAATAGTTAGAAATCCTTACTGATATGCATCAACATAAGTAATAAACACTGGGAGAAGAGAATCATACTTATTACAAAGTAATAAAGCAATAAGAATTCTAGAAGTATGGATTTTAGAAAATGGAAAGAAAATATATCAGAAGAATATTATCAGAAGAAAAATAGAGACAACCACTAGGATTCTGATATAAAAAATTATAGATAAATAAACAAGATATATTATCAACCATATCCTCTTTCCCACAATTGAATATCTATTAAATAACTCAATCTTATCAGAAAAGAAATGTGATAGACTGTGTAGCAAAATAAATAAAGTCTTTAAATATAAAGCAGAACTGGCTATAACAACAATGAACTGTATATTTCATTTCAACTTTAGATATAAACTATTTCACTTATGGAATAGACTAATTCTTATACATGGAAAAAATTACTCTATAGACTTAACATTCACAATTTGAAAAGAAGAATAGCACAAATAAGATTTTGGTACTTATAAAATAAATACTGATCCAATACATCAATTTTAATAGACAGACTACCATTTTGGATTAAAAAAAAGGAAAATCTGATAAACAATATACTAAATATACTGAAACTCAAAAGAGTCACATTTGCTTTAATTAATAATAGATTTCTAAAACATTTAGTATATAAAATTTTACAGATCACTTATATTTCTTCTTAAGAAACAAAATTCATAGCTCTTTACTTTAATAGGAACAAAAATCAGAAAATGCTATAAATTAATAATTTAGATAAAGGAGAACAATTATAGATAGTTTTTTTATAGTTTTTAATTTAAAAATTTTAATATTTTCTAGTAAGGGACATTTGACTTTTGTCCTTATCTCCCCTTTAGAAATCTATCTTTAGCTTCAGTCAACATACATGATTTAGAAAAATAGTCAAAAAGGAGGAAAGAGCTATTAAAGAAATGGTCTTAGAGAAATGATACAACAAAAACAGAAACTTTCTTAGGTGCAAAAAAAATCATATTCTTTGACCAGCTCCTTAATAACAACAAAATGAGATTCTTTTCTTGACAACAGATACACGCTAAACTAGGAAAATAAGGCAATGCCCCCTTTGATATAAAAAATTGAAAGAATTGTCAACTGAGCCAGAAAACCTACAGGAGAGAGATATCAAAGAATTAACACTTTTTAGGAGGCACAGAGATAACAACCAAGAATTAACTTTTCTATTTTAATACACTGATATAACCATGTCAACAATAGTTAACAATCAGATGACTAGTAATCAAGAAGGGCACAGCAACAGTAATAATAAAGAAAAAGAAGGTTATAAACGACCAGTCTATTCTAGCCAACTATATAATCAAAGATAACAAGTCATCACCACTTTTTAAATATAAAGGTTAACCATTTAATGACTTAGAACTTGGAAAACAATACAAAAATTAATAGCAATATATAATAATACAACTATTCACAAAGTCAGTGGACATTAAAATAATAAAGAGTACGAAAGGCTACATTACAAACCCATAGAAGTCAGACACAAGATAACCCCAACAACAGACTCCAGTCATTCCCAGGGTATAGAACACACACTTAGAGATATCTATAATAGATATCTACTCAATAGAGTCCCATCAACTTTATATCTGGACCCTATATCAATTACAAAGATTCTAATTC